CGCATAAGCTTGAGAGGTCACCGTCTCCTTTAAAACGCTCTCTTTGGATGGTGTTGACGAGTCCTGAGGTGGGAATGATGATTCTTCCTGGCACCAAACCACAGTTGTCTGGAGTTACAGCTGGACAAGGAGCCACTTAAAGATGCAGTGCGTGTACCCACATCCTAGTCAGCTGACTCGTTGCATCATGCCACCTCTCAAAGGGAAGAGATGTGAATTACTGCATGCCTTTGACTCCAAGAGTTTCATCCAAATTAAAATCTGATACGGAGAGAAATGTTTTCATAGCTTCTTTAGCTGTAACCACAGCTTCAGCAGAGAATCTGACTGTTGAAAAGTATAGAGTTCTTCATTTGGCAAGACAAATTTTTATTACTTTGAAAAAATGTTTTTAATTGTACTAGATATAAGAATTGTACATATTAATAGGCTACTATGTGATGTTTCATTATAAGAATATATTTTGTAATATTCACAATAAATATGTCTCCAATTAATTTATTTATAGTGAAAATATATTCAGAATCCTTTCTTATTTTTAATAGAGAAAAAATGCATTAACATCATCTATAGTCATCCTACTGTGCAACAGAACCCAGAATTCCCTACTCTATGTAGCTATCACCCAGAGCCCATCAATCAAACTTCTCCCTTTCCATCCTTACCGCTTTCCTCCCCAGCCTCTGGTAGCCACCATATTAAATTCTGTGAGATCACTTATGCTGTAGACTCCATGTCTGAAGGGGATCATGTGATACTTGTGTTTCTGTGCTTGGCTTATTTCACTTAACACAGCAATCTCACTTCCATCTGTGTTGCAAATGACAGGATTCCATCCTTTTTTATAGCTGAAAGGTATTCATCATGTATGTTTATATTTATGTATAAATATATGTGGCCAATGTGTGTTTATATTTACATATAAGCATATCTATTATGTGTATATATAAATATATGATGGTTGTGTGTTTATATATGAGCATATTTATTATATCAGTATATGTGTGTTACCAGTGAATGCTGGGGTTCTTGTCTTCATGCAAGAAAGAATTCAGGCGTGAGACAGAGAGTAGTGGGAGGTAAAATAGCAAGGTTTATTAGGGAAGGGACATCCATAAGGATGGATGGGCACCTCTCCAGACAGAACCTGAGAGAGAGTGCCCAGTCGCTCGGACTGGGGGAAGAGCGAGGTTACATGGTTGAATGGAATACACCTGGCCAGGCCAGGAGGCCAGCTCAGCATGGAGGCAGAGGACTGAGCGCACAGTCTGGTTGAGGCCAGGATTTTTAAAGAGATGGGCCTTGCCTTCCCGCCTCCACTCCTACTAAAAACTCCTATCTGAGTTTTCCCCCTGAAGTTATCAGATGGGGGGGGGGGCCTGACTGGCGTCGCCCCAGTTAAAGGAAGGATGGGCTAGACCCCCTGGAGGATCAGGATAGAAGCAGGATATTTGAAATGCAGATACTGGGCTGCATCTGGAAGATTGTCAGGCAGAAGGGGCAGGGACCCCCACCTGCAGGTTATCCAGTAGAAGGAGCAGGGCAGGATGCAGACGCTGGACTGCCCCTGAAACTTATCGGGATGACTTTGAGATGCATATGCTGGACCTAAATGTCTCCTCAGGCCTTTGTCACACACACACACATGCTCATATCTGACTTCCTACCTAACATACATATATAGCCAGACTTCTTTATCCCCACATCACAGGATGCACTCCTAGATTGTTCCCCTTCTTAGCTACGGTGAACTGTGCTGTAGTAAACAGAGGAATACCGATGTCTCTTTGACAACTGCATTTCATTTCCCTTGATTATATGCCGGGTAGTGGGATTGCTGCATCATTTGGCCGCTCTACTTGTAGGGCTTTGAGGAATCTCCTTGCAGTTTCTACAGTGACTTTACTAACGACGTTTCTCCCAGCCAGTGTGCCAGGGCTCCCTTTTGTGCACATCCTTGCCAACACTTACTATCGTTCGTCTTTTTGATAATAACAGATCTAACTGGAGTCGCATAATGTCTCATTGTGGTTTGATTTGCATTTCCTTGATGATTCTGATGTTGAGCATGTCATGTACCTGTTGGCTATTTGTATGTTTCTGTTAGAAATGTCTGCGGCGCAGCGGGTTAACGCCCTGGCCTGAAGCACCGGCATCCCATATGGGCGCCGGTTCTAGTCCCGGCCACTCCTCTTCTGATCCAGCTCACTGCTGTGTCCTGAGAGAGCAGTAGAATATGGCCCAAGTCCTTGGGCCCCTGCACCCACATGGGAGACCTAGAAGGAATCTCTTGGCTCCTGGCTTTGGCTCAGCACAGCTCCGGCCATTGCGTCCATCTGGGGAGTGAACCAGTGGATGGAAGACCTCTCCCTCTGTCTCTACCTCTCTCTGTAACTCTGTCTTTCTTTTTTTTTTTTTTTTTAACTTTTATTTAATGCATATAATTTTCCAAAGTACGACTTATGGATTACAATGGCTTCTCCCCCATACCGTCCCTCCCACCCACAACCCTCCCCTTTCCCACTCCCTCTCCCCTTCCATTCACATCATGATTCATTTTCGATTATCTTAATATACAGAAGATCAGCTTAGTATACATTAAGTATGGATTTCAACAGTTTGCTCCCACACAGAAACATAAAGTGAAAAATAATAGATGATTTTTTTAAATGATGATGAAATCAGAGCAGACCTATTGTCATGTTTAATCCCAGTGAGAGTCAAGTTGGGAATTGATAATTTCTTTTTTTTTTTTTCTTTTTTTTTTTTTTTTTTTTTTTTTTTTACAGAGGATCAGTTTAGTATGCATTAAGTAAGGATTTCAACAGTTTGCACCCCCATAGAAACACAAAGTGAAATATATTGTTTGAGTACTCGTTATAGCATTAAATCTCAATGTACAGCACATTAAGGATAGAGATCCTACATGAGGAGTAAGTGCACAGTGACTCCTGTTGTTGACTTTACCAATTGACACTCCCATCTATGGCATCAGTAATCTCCCTATGCTCCAGTCATGAGTTTCCAAGGCTATGGAAGCCCTCTGAGTTCTCCGACTCTTATCTTGTTTAGACAAGGTCATAGTCAAAGTGGAGGTTCTCTCCTCCCTTCAGAGAAAGGTACCTCCTTCTTTGATGACCTGTTCTTTCCACTGGGATCTCACTCGCAGAGATCTTTTGCCAGAGTGTCTTGGCTTTCCATGCCTGAAATACTCTCATGAGCTTTTCAGCCAGCTCCGAATGCCTTTAGGGCTGATTCTGAGGCCAGAGTGCTATTTAGGACATCTGCCATTCTATGAGTCTGCTGAGTATCTCACTTCCCATGTTGGATCACTCTCCCCTTTATTTACTCCATCGGTTAGCGTTAGCAGGTACTAGACTTGTCTATGTGTTCCCTTTGACTCCCAGTCCCTTCACCATGACCAACTGTGAACTGAAACTGATCACCTGGAACAGTGAGATGGCATTGGTACATGCCACCTCGATGGGATTGAATTGGAATCCCCTGGTATGCTTCCAACTCCACCACTTGGGGCAAGTCAGCCTGAGCATGTCCCAAATTATACATCTCTTCCCTCTCCCATTCCCACCACCATGTTCAACAGGGATCACATTTCAGTTAATTTTCAACACTTAAGAATAACTGTGCATCAATTACAGATCTAAATCAGTCATATTAAGTAGAACAGATAAAAAAAACTACTAAGAGGGATAATGTATTAAGTTGTTCATTAACAGTCAGGGCTATGCTGATCAAGCCACCATTTCCCATAGTGTCCACCTCACTCCAACAGGTTTCCCTCTTGGTAACTCTGTCTTTCAAATAAATAAAATAAATCTTTAAAAAAAAGAGAAATATCTGTTTAAATCCACTATCCAGTTTCAAGCTGGATTTTTTCCTCGTCGAGTTGTTTGTGTTCCGTATCTTATGGATGCGAGCGCTCTGTCAGGTGCACAGCCTGCAGGTATTCTCTCCTTGGAAGGTGGCTCCTTTACTCTGGTGGTTGCCCCTTTGCTGTGTAGAAGCTCTTCAGTCGGATAAAAATCCCCTTTGTCTGTTCTTGCTTTTGTTCTCTGTGTTTCTGAGGTCTGGTCCAGAAACCCTAGGCCTGGTCCAATACACTGTAGTGATTTCCTTACTTTTCTTCTAGCAGCTTCCGTTTCAGGTGTGCTTTTGGGTCTGTCAGCCATTCTGAGTTTCCTTTTAGTCATGGTGAGAGATGAGAGGAGGCTTCATTCTTCTGCACCTGGAGACCCCGTGTTCCCAGCACCAGTGAGGGAGAAGACTGTCCTTTCTCCAATGCTGTCCTTAGCGCCTTCGTCAAAGATCAGTGGGTTTGTGGATGTGTGCGTTTACATCTAAGGTCTCTGTCATTTTCCACTGGGGATTTCTGTTTGTAAGACCATGTCATCTGCAAACTAACGGCTTGATTTTTTCCTTTTGATTTTGATGCCCTTTCTTTCTTTCTCTCACCTAATTGTTCTGGCTAGGACTTCCTTTACTGTGTTGAATAAAAGTGTAAAAGTGGCAATATTAGTCTTGTTCTGGATCTTAGAAAACTTTCAGCTTTTGCCTGTTCAGGGTGAAGCTGGCTGGATCTATTTTTATGTCAGTACCATCCTAATTTACTTACTGAAGCTTTGTAATGCATTTTAAAGTCAAGTACTGTGATACCTCCTGCTTTATTCTTTTTGATTCTGATCAGTTTGGCCATTTGAGGTCTTCTGTGGTTCAATACAAATTTTAGTAGGATTTTTTTTCTAGTTCTGTGAAAAATATCACTGGGGTTTTTATAAACATTGGTTGAAGCTGCAAATTTCTTTGGCTAGTATGCAGATTTGCTGACTCTGCATCTTCCAATCCATGACTCTGAATTTCTTTGGGTCCTCTTCAGTTTGCTTCAGCAGGGAGGTTTTAGGGTTTTCATGGTTTCATATTCACAAACAAATTAAAGGCATATTTTGTTGAGTCACAGTCCTATTTTATTTTTGCTACTTTAGGTAAGGATGATTCCATTATTTCCAGTCCTGATGTCACTGATATTGCACCAAGTAGAAAGCGGAGGCAGCGAATGCAGAAAAATCTTGGGACAGAACCTAAGATGGCCCCTCAGGAGCAGCATCTTCAAGAAAAGGAAAAGTAAGTCATTTGCTTTGCCAAGTACAGTGCAGTGAACATTTAAAAAAACCTATAGTGTTCAAGATTCTATTTTTATTTCTGAGTTATTTTTAAGATTAAAAATTATCAATTTGGAAATTTTAAAATGTTCAAATCAAAATATTTTCTCAGTCATTTGGTTACTTCCCATTAAGATTTAAAGCAGAAATGCCAGAAATATAAGCAAATTTTATGGTTGTTTATAAATTAATTAGAAATGGCATGTGGGATACTGAAAATATTAGGAACCAGCTTGTGTTCAGTAAAGTGTTTCAATCTAATTTACTGCTTAAAGGAGATCCATTGAGCATTCAAATGAGCCACGTCATTTGGTTATGCTTGGTATTTTTTTTCATGTAAAAATGTCCCTTTCAAATCATGTTTATTTCTATTAAATTTTTGCATTGAATATTTTAGTATTTTTCACTCTTTAGACTACCCTCTATCTATATCCCAGTGTAGTTTGAATGAGTTGAGGAACTGAAATAATTAGCATTTCATTATGGCAAACAATAAGCATTTATAAAGAATATTAATAACTGGATGCAAAATGAATATTCAAATCATTTTTGTGTTGGGTTACATCTGCATATGTTCAGAGAACTATTTTTTCTCTCATTTTCATTAATTGGCAAAGAGTCACTGAACAATGATCACATGGCAGAGGCTACTTAGTCTGTGGTTTTCAAAATGTGGAATGAGGGTCCCCATGGGTTCCTGAGATCCTTTTTGAGGATCCACAAGGCCCTCCCTCCTCCAGTCCCATACCTGCGTGAGGCTGCGTTTACTTCATATTCTTCAAATAAAATAACATATTACAGCTGATTGAATGCAGAATCTATGGAAAATCCACTTGTTTTTAATCAAGCTAACCATCAAACAGATTTGCAAAGATAAAATAATGCCTTCCCAAGACTTTTTGTTTGGAATTTTTAAGGATGCTTTTTAATGGGTGTTATTCGTGTTAGCACATGCTGCATTTGTGTTGCTTTGAATAAATTAATGAATGTTCTACAGGTTTTTCGGTGTTAACTTTGATTATGGCAATACAACCCACATAAACAAAAATGTGGCCTTAAAATTCTTGGTGCCCTCAAGAATGTTTAAAAGTACACGGGGGTCGTGAGAGCGGAAAGTTTCGAATTCTGTCGTAGGCAGTGGGGATGCAAGGGCTGAGGTCTGAGCTGTGCCTTCAGGAGCCTGGCAGCCCAACTGGAGGGAGTGTGTAAGATAAAGATGAGAATAGCGTAGTTCGCGGTGGGGTTATTTTGGCTGTTGATCCTGGGGTTTTTACACTCTTCACTGTTGACGGTTCTGCTTAGCCTTGCCATCTGCATACAGAGCTGAATCTCATGTCTTCAGGCAATGTGTGCACACTCCAGACTGCGCTAAACTCTTGCTGCTTTGTATCTATTTATCCATCAGCTATAACCCCTTGATAGAGTCCCCAGAGTTGAAAGCACAGTAGGATCTCTTTTACATGATGAACTGAGAATATTTCCCATTTACAAACATCTGAAGAGTCATATTCCTACAGACTAATCTGAGAAAGAACAAAATTACAGCTGTTAGAAAAATACAGAAAACTCTGTATTTCATTCAGCCAAATCAGTAAACGAGTACTTAGCATGGAGTCTGTGTGAGACGCGATATTGGATTCTGTGGGGTTTGCAGGAGTAGAAAGTAGACACAACCTCAGCCTTCCGGGAACTTTCTGTCCAGTTGTTTTGTCTAACAGATGTCAGGGTGAGGGGAGAAGGCAATAGATGGGTTTTACACTGGAGAGCCGTATCTGGGGCCTTTTCAGTTTAGGTGTGGACTAAATGTTAGGCTTTGACGTTGCTAATGTCTTCAGAGTACACTGCATTGCTTCAACAGGTTTCTGATACCCATGGTACAGGGATAAAGGGGGGTTGGCTAGGAGCCAAAACTAAATATTTTTATTTAGAGTTTTAATAAAGACAATGTGTGTGTTTCTAGAAACGTGTGTGCAGTTAATACCGTGTTCCTTTTCTGTTCCACGCGTAGATGATCAGGTCTGTGTTTATTTTGTATACTTTCACCATTTAGAAAGTTGAAACCACCAACCATATCACTTATCTTGAATTGTCTGCTAATTATATCATTGTAGGGTGTTTGGGCAGGACTGCCCTTAAGTAGAAATGACAGATATGTATATGTGTTAGATATCAGGAAGAATTTTCAAGATTAAAGGAAATTTGGTTTAGCATATATCAATCAAATGTTGTATTGTTGATACCCTGACTTTTAATTATTTTTTGTGACCAAATAAAAGTTAAATTATGTATTATGTTCTTATTTTGATTTTTTTCCATTTTGAATAGAGACTAAAATTTTATGGCTCTTACAAAGTTAGTAGTTCTAATTTCCAAATTCTTTCTCAAAAACATTAGAAGATTCTATAACACACACACACAAGGGTGCAAACTGTTGAAATCTTTACTTAATATATACTAAATTGATCTTCTGTCTATAAAATAATTGAAAATGAATCTTGATGTGAATGGAATGGGGGAGGGAGCAGTAGTTGGGAGGGTTGCGGGCGGGAGGGAAGTTATGGGGGGGGAGCCATTGTAATCCATAAGCTGTACTTTGGAAATTTATATTTGCTAAATAAAAGTTAAAACACACACAAACAGACACACACCCACAAGCCATTAGTTCCAGCAAACCTTAGAATAAGAGATTCCCAAATACTAGTGATTAACCCTTTTATTTGTAAACTAAAGCTACTACTTTTTTCCTTTTTCCTTAAGCAGATTTTTTTATCTGATAACTGCCTAAGCATCTTTATGGTTAATATAGCCTCCTGCAGCCCCCCAGGCAGATGCAGATGGGATTGCTTTGCTACTTACCAGTGAAAAGATAAGGCCCCCACCTCTGAACCTCACAGGCCCCTCTGCCCCTTGGTAATGAATTCTGAGGGCTCTAGTCCCTGAAGACATGCCCACCAGGCGTCTTGCCTGTGTTTTCTAGCTTGGCTTGTTAAGGATAAGCTGCGGAAAGCAGTAATCATAGATACCGTGTTTAATTTCTTTTTTCTTTTGTGCAGTTATTTTACCCATCCAGGATTGAGTTGATTTGTCTGTAAATGAAAGAATTAAACTACACAATCTGTAAAATCTCTCCCAATACTGTTGTACCTGTATCTGTCCACCACTTTCAAGAGGTGAATATGATCTAGCAATAAATCACTTTTGCATTTATTATCTACTATCAATTACAACTCATGAAGCAGTTAAAATATAAAATATCCATGAGAAAATAATTGTTGCCATTTGGGGAGTGAACCAGTGGATGGAAGACCTTTCTCTCTGTCTCTCCCTCTCAGTGTCTGTAACTCAGCCTCTCAAATAAATAAATAAGATCTTTTTAAAAAGTTACAAGTTTATAAATATGGCATAATATAAAATTTTAAATACAAGTTGTTTTATATTCTTAAACTGTGAAGCAAAATTAAAAAATTTGAAGTTAATTGGACATTTATTGTGATTCTGTGTCCTTGTTCCAGTGTCAAATTGCAGAGAGCAAACAGAGATACAGGACATGGAGCAGTCATGATTAGTGCTGTGTATGTTGTCTGTCATCTAAATCTCATGCAGACTCTGCAGGGTAGGTATTAGTTTCTCCTTCTTAGTGGTTAAGCGACCAAGACTCAGCGAGATACAGTCATTTGCCTTGAGCAGCACCGCCAGTGTTTCATTTCAGTCTGTTCTTGGTCCACTCCCTCAACAAGATACGTGATCTTTACAGAGCCAGAGACATACGCAAATAATTCTGTGACTTCAAGGACAGTGAGGGATGTATACTAGCAGTAGGGTTCTGAGTTGGAATTACTGGAATTAGGTTTCAGATTTTAGAGTATGTTCTCATTAGTGGTCATTGATGAGGGCATTTAACATGAATCTGAGAGAACCGCTTGTGATCTTTGCCAGTGAGGTACACAGGGAACTCATTGTTAGGATTACAAATCCTTCTTCAGTAGCCTGTCAGTATCAGAAATTCACAATGTGTTACTTGTATATCACATTTAATTTGTGTTCATGGTTAAGCAGTATAATAAAATTTTCTTTCCGAAAGGAAACCAGTTAACCTAATTCCTCCTGAGATAATGAAGTGGATTGAAAAGCAGCAGTGGTAATTATTAGCATTTGATAAAACAACTGTTATTTTTCAACTGAGACCAGTAATCAATTTGGTAGTCAACTTTCAAACTATCAAAGTGAACTATGTGTATCAAATATAAAAGAAAATGTGTGGTAAAGCTGTTGTACCAATACAAATTCTATATAATAAAACATACATAATATATGAGAAAATAAGAATCAAAACTACTGTGGAAATATTTAACCCTATTCTATAAAATGCTGGTAAAGTATACTTAGATCAAGGGTGAAGAAGGAAGGTCAAACTCTACATTAGCATATTTCTTTTTGATAAATATGCCTAAATTTCTGGAATTGCATTTAAACAAGAATGAAATGACATAATGATGATGATCCAGGACTGTCCAATTTCTTCAGTCTGACACTTTTTTAGCTCTTCCATACATGCTTCTGTGTTAGAAGGACAACAGATTTGCCCTCAAAACAGATGTTACATCTCAGGCAAAGCAAAGGTGACCTCCCCAAGTGCCCAGGCTATAAAGCCTTAGCATAGAGAGTAGACAGTAACATGATTAGTGAGCAACTGAACATCATTCACACAGGAAAATCTAGCACATTCTTCAAGTTCTGTAAACGAAAGTAAAAACTTTAATGCGGATGGTTTCTCAGATTGTCATACATACGTATGTCCTGTAGCAACCTGCTTATAAAGTAAAATCTCAAATAATAAAATGGGAAAATAGTAACAGAAATTAGTAAGGTAACTTGCATTTGTACTAAATAACATTTTAATTGATTATTGTAATATGCTTTGGACAGTCTGAATTAATATGCCTCTTCTAATGTCTTAAAAATATGTTATAACACAAGGTAAATGTAATTTTCTCAATTTCCAAGTTTAGTCTAAAAAATAGTGATGCAGTGTTAAGTTGAAACAGTTTAGTACTGAAATACTAAGCCTATTCTGTTAAATGATGTCCAAAACTGTACTGTGCACAGTTTAAGCTGCTTATCTAAGGTCACTCCACTAGTGAGTGATTGTAATTACACAGTAGATTAATTAATGACATACCCCTTACTGTTCATAAAAGATGATATGAAAGAGACTGCCTTTACATGGAGGAATTATTTGGACTCATGAAATTTAGCCATAGACCAGCTTAGTCATTACTGAGTTATTATTATCCTTTCTCAATGTAACTGTTGATTCAGCATTACCTAGTCTCTGCTGCTTATGAAACTTTTTGACCCCATGGTGTTCTTCTTCAGTTTACTATAGATGAGAAAGTATCACCTGCCTATAAAACACACCAAAAATACATAAAATATTTGATAGCTCCTTACGTACATATTCTAAGGATATCCAATAGAAGTAAACCTTAAATGACCATGATCAAAATTCTACATACTTCAAGGTTATGCATGAACAAAGATATTTTACCAGATTCTTAGTCATGTTAAACTAAAAAAGTTGACAGATAATGAGTTTATTATGCAGTTTTTATCTCTTAGTAATGAAGAAATGATCACACAAATAGTTTCAATTTTGTGGATGACATTACCACAACATATTAACCATTATATTGTTAAATTCATCTGGGAAGCCTAACTTCATTGGTTGTTTTCAATTCTAAGTCTATGCAAAATTCAAACATTTCCGTCTGTTCCTTACAATGTAATTTCTCCTCCCAGCACAGTTTTATCCAGTGTAGGAGTACCGTATGATTTTACAGGACTCAGGAAACACCAAAAACGCTGTTTGTTGAAACAAGAGTTCTGACTATTGCTGAGTAAATGAGATATGGTTCCTGATCTCAGATTGCTTAGTGTGTGAGAGAAGACACGTGTTAATCATCATTGCCTAAATACGTAACTGTACACTTCCGAAGGATTCAGGAGTTAGGGAGACAGCAAAAAAGGATGTGGCTTGGCTTGAGAATCATCCTGTGAGCTGTGATGGTGAAGTGAGATAGTGGACGGGGCAGAGCAGAGTGCTCAGGTGAGGACACAACGGGTGAGTGCCTGCTCAAGTAGAACACGTGTGGGATGAAGTGAGGGAGCAGGGAAGAGGGTGTGAGGTGGGCTGCAGGAGGCCAGAGCAGGCAGGTGCAGAGCCGCGGTAGGCAGTCAGCCTTTCCTAGGGTCTCGTGCAACAAGACTTTTCTCCTGTTTGCCCTGTCTTCAGCACTGCCTTTCAGTTCTTGTTAAGAGTTATCATGTTCTCACACTGACCAGTGTGGGGAGCAACTCGGACTAGACTGTTACTCGAATTAAGACTTATTCTATGCATCTGCACTCCCACAATATGGCGCTGGGAGAGGAGGAAACAGCTTCTACACAGCTGCCTCCAGTTCAACCAATAAACAGCAGGACCTGCTCCTGATTGGAGGAGAGCAGCGTGCTCGGCGTGTGGGTAGCAGAGTTGGGATTGGTGGAAGAGGACTATAAAGGAGGAGAGAGACAACATGCACCAGGAACACCTGAGGAACATCTGAGCAGCCCCCCAGAGAGCCGGCCGGCGGTGTGCCGCTCCCCGGCGGAAGTGGGGAAAGTGGCAGGGGGAACCGCCCTTCCACGGAGGTGGAAGGGTCGGTAGCCAACCCGGGAAGAACCAGCAGCAAACCCGGGGAGGGCTGAGCAGACAAAAGAACAGCGCAGGGTCCTGTGTCGTTCCTCCACGAAGAAGGGGAGCGACAGACCAGAAAACTCAAACATATGGGGGCAACAGTGCATCTTCTTAGATCTAGTGACCTAAATTTATCTAAAAATATCATACTTTCCTTTTAAAGTTCTTTTTCAAACGGATTAAAGTTGTACAATTTTGAATTTCCAGTAATAAAGGTTTCATTCTTTTGAAACACAGGAAGCAAGAAATGGGCACGTGTTGGCAGTCCTGAGGTGCGCTTGAACTGCCATTTTGCCCATTTTTGGTAAATATAAATCTTTCGTTAAGGAAACATTTTAGATTGTTAATGATTTCCTGCTTTTAGTAAGACTGAACTTGTTGGATCTGGTACATATTGATAAATGCTGGGAAAGTCATGTGACTAATACACAGAGTATGATGACAGTCCCGTTCTGTCAGCGCTGAGAGTTGACACCCACATGACCGTGTGCTGTGCTTCCCTTGCTCCTGTGTTGTGCCGGCTGAAACTGGGGTTTATAGAGTCCTTTGGCATGTCTTTTTACTTCTGTATGTTAAACAAAATGAGCCAGCTGACAAAGACTACAGAAGTTGTGAAATTTCTTGTGTATTTATAGACTTTAGTTATATTTCCAGGTGAAATCCTGAATGTGAACAAGAATATGGTTGAATTTTCTTTCTATAAACCTGTAAGGGCATAATGTGTATCTGAACAAAATGGCCCTCTCTTTGGGCATTATTGGATGTCGAGCTCACAATCGTAATGAAAGCATGTTGTATCATGCAACATAATAGCCAATTAAAGAGTTTTTCATTTAAATCTTCTTTAAGAGCTCTCATTATTTCTCTCAATGTTCTACACAAACCTAATACAAATATCTCCAGCTCTATTCGTATCAGTGAATTAAAGCTTGTTAGTTGCATCCTGTTGGTATGATCTGAGGTCAGTTGAGGCCCCATAAACTAGTCTGATTATTCTAACAAATTGATTACTTTATATAAATGTAGTCAATTTCCCAGTCTTATTGAAATTAGCAGCCAGGTGATAAAATCAACCAAATAACAAAGTGATTATATTAAATGGTTTGATTAATGTTTGATAATTGGCATCTCTTTAACTGTTTCACTGTATTTCTACCTGGATTCCTTGTTTTCTTCTTCTAGGTGATCTGTTTCTTATTTCCATATGCTCGCTCTATCTATCAGAAGAAAACCAATTTCAAGATATACTGAGTTTAGCTATGAAACAGGGCTTAGCTAACGCCTCATAGAGACATAACAATGAGAACCCCTTGTCCCAATCAGAGCTGCAGATCCCACATGACCAAAGGAAACCAAACCAAAGTCACAACACAGCCAGCATTACTCACATGCCTAACAAGGGAAATTAGACTCAGAGATACACCATACACACTCCATTCCCGAACAGGAGCATAACATCTCCTGTGGCTGAGAGAAGAGCTAAACAGACTGATAGGAACAAGTACTCCTAGCTTTCAGATTTGGGTTAAGTGGAGGAAAGAAATGCCACAGTAAGTAATTCCTTTGACACCATTTAATGTTTCAAATGTTCATAAGTTTAGCACCCTTATACAGTCGGACTTGGGAACTATAGTAGGGTATTATTTTAGAATATGGAACCTCAAAATTCTTGGATATCAAAGGTTTTTAAAATAAAAGAACATTTCAACCATAATTGTAGGATTTTAGGCATTAAAAAGAAGTACAAGAGAAAAAAAAAACTTGTTTTGTAAACAGGATGGCGTAAGAAAAATTTTTTTGATGTGTCTAAGCACCTGCCTCTTCCTCTCCCCGTCCTGTGCTCAGGAAACCTGCTTATCCCTGATGGCCCTGCCAGGGGAATGGGGTCCTTTCCTAAGAGATTCGGGTGATTGGAGTATGTTAGGACACCTCTAAGAGGAGGTCCACATCAACCATTAAAGTAGTTTGGGCCAAAAGTACAAAGAAATACTTGTATGGTGTTCGATGTTTTTATGTACTCTTCGGCTTCTGCAGTCTAACAAGCAAAAATATATAGGTTCGCAGACATGATTTAGTCCACAGACATGATTTAGTCTTGCACGTGATGGATGTCTTCTGAAAACACGAAGTTCGAGTACATTGTTAAAACGACCTGAAAAATATTATGAAATCATAACGTTTCACAGATGTTGCTCCTTGAACTGCAGTAAAGGAGTTTTAGCTGTGTGCTCTAAATCAGCCTTTCAGTGGTCCCATTAAGAAACTGTGTAGCTGCAGTGTCTCAGAGGGGTAGTGAACTGGCCAAACACTTCTCACGCACACCGTGGGGTGAGTGTGTGATTTAATTTGCCAAGGTTACACAATCTTGTCAGAGAACTGACGGCTACGGGGAGCAGGAAAGGGTGCGGTATAGGTCAGCCTATAGCCCAGCTGACACTGATAAGCCTTTGCCTGTGGTATGGTCTTCCTGGAGCCAGAGAAACTCAGTTCTTGCCTTTTTATACTAGTCGCTCACAGCATCATCCTTGAAGAAACTGCACGAACCCTGCACTTTGTTTAGAGGAGTAATTACAAACATCAGGCTCCTCTGACCGCCTAACCACAGCTACTACTTCGTCTTTCAAAGCTGTGCAGGGTTCCAAAGAGCTTACGTCCCCCCACTAACCCGGCTGCAATTCAATAGAATTGGAGCATCATGTGTCTTTGTACATAAATTTGCACATACAAGTAATTGATTTTTCTCCTTAGAATCAATTCCCAAAAATGGAATTACTAGGTTAGAGGACATGTATCCTCGTCAGTACTTTGTTGTTTTGCAAGAATTCATCCAGAAAGGATTTAACAATTTGTACTCCCTCATTCAGTGTTTGCCTTTTGTTCTTTTGTTTTCCAATTCATTTTGGTCATTGACAGATCCTTTCAATCAATGAATAGTAGCCCATTTAAATTTTTGTAATTAATCATTAGAGAATCCATATTGTTCAGCTATTTATTGATATTGGGACTTCATCTTTTATTATATATTCAAAACTTTAACTGATTTTCATTGGCTATCTTTGTCTCCTATTACTTTATAGAAGCAGCTTGTATCTTAAATATTAGTTTATGTTTCTCTGCTGGTCACTTGTGTTTTCGCTTTGTAAATGACATTTGGTATTCACCTAAGTTATGCGTAAAATCTATTCCCTAGTAATAATGATCATATTTAATGTTCATTGCGTATTGATTATGCCCTAAACATTGTGCTAAGCCCTTTACATGCATTATCTCAATTAACTGCACCCATCACTTTGATTAGAAAGCTGATTCCTTGAGGGGTTAGATAACTTGCTCAGAGACAGGCACTACATCTGTGGTCTTCGATCTAGGAGGACCATACTTTATAGCCACTCAATTATATAACTAGAATTTATTTGATTACTGTGTGCCAGGTTCTGAGGTAAGCACTTCTATCTCATCACATTAATTCATTTAGTCTCAGCACAATTCTTATGAATTCTTCTATTTGTATCTGTACCTGTAAATAGCTGACTAAACTTGAGTTTCAGCAAGGTTAACTGCTTGCTCAAAATTGCTGCAACACAGCCTTTGAGATGGAACCATAAGCTCTGTGACTGCAGGCTTATGATGGGCTTAATACCTTGTCCCGCCTTCCTTTCAAGATGGAAGAGAGTAGGCCTAGATCCTGTGTGCAAGCTCTAGCTAAGGAGGATGCTCTAGGAAGATGATACTCTGTGGTTTGTAAAGCACTGTGTTAACCCCAGGCTTTTAGCTAAATATTGGAAAAAGTTTCCTGGGAATGAAATGCTTTTAGAAAATTTGAACGTGAAAAGCTTTCTTTTCTTGCAGTTTTTATGGAAAAGAAGGTTATTCATACCCTTTTTTGTGCTAACTCAGCAAATGGTTTTCTTGCATTTAGCAATCAATGTAGTCTGATGTTGGATGAAAATAGTATATTTGGAGGGATGATGTTGGAGGTTTGATGTTGGAGGACTTTATTTTAAAACAATTGATTTGCAAAGTATGCATTAGACATATATATGAACAGAGAGAGAGAGATTTCAAAAGTGCTAATTGGCCATCCTATTTTTTTTTTTCAAAAAGAACCTCTTTTCATGTTTATACCTTGATTCTTAAAAATTTGCTAACAATTCATTGCTTTCTTCTGGTTTAAATTTCAAAAATATTTGGAAAGCAGCTGCATGTGTGTTTAATGGAGAATATGACCATGAGATTCAGGTATCTGATTCTTGTTGAATTTTTGGTACCTGAACTTTAAACTTCTTTAATGTCAAATTATGGACTTAAAATGAATGTTCAATTGGTATATATTTACTTTAGTCATCATGAGCAAACCTCATTTTCTACACAACTTTAATTTTATGATAATGTTTATGTTAGTTGCAAAAGTAAACACAGGGGTGGTTTTACAACGAGATAGGTTTTTATTAGCTTCCCTCCGTGTTTGCCTAACTGCTCAAGCTGCAGCTCTCACTCCTTGCCGCGGGTTTTGATTAATGGGCCCTTGGACTCCTTCCAGAGTACACTGATTACGGTCAGGGCACTTCCAAGATGATTTATTAATTGTGTTTGCAACTAAAAATAATTAAGGAAAGATTGATCATATTATTATTACAGGTTTGCCAATAAAACCAGAAGTAGCATTCTAAGATAAAGTTTTTCTAAGCAGGTATTTTTTAAATGTACAAAATGAACAATATATTAATATTTTTAAATATTAATTTTTAGCCATAGTTTATGGCCTTTTAAAACATGAGTATTAAATGTATCAGAGGCTTAGCCTTGAAAGTGCACCTATTTTAAGCTGATTTTAACATAGTTTCAGGATAATATGTTTCAGTAGAACTTACATAGGTATTTGAAAAGTACTTCCATGTTTATAATTCACCCTGAAACAACCATTGCTACAATTCCCCCAGGCTATGACGTATATTTAAATTTCAAATTACTGACAGACTCAAATTTCATTTTTTTTTTTAATTTAATAGGAGTCTGTTGTAATCTTTCTGAGTTTTATGTGAAGGAAATTTATCATGTATCATATATACTATGCCCCTAGCATTTGAAAGATTTTGGTACATAAAACTTCTCCAAATTTAACTTGATAATAATTATTTTATCAGACATTTTTAGGGTTTATTTTAAGCATTCTATGCACAGAGAATAATGTGTAAATGCTTATTATACCTGATGAGCTGGGTTATGAATCGAAAGAAATGACTCCCTGCTCATAATTCATATCATTCAATAGTGAAGGAAAAACGAGCACTTTTCTATTATTTGCCTTACGGTATTCAAAATTTACATTGTAATGGCAAACGTCAGTATCGTCTACCATGGTATATATCTCAATGTAAAATAGGTGTTTGATTTGTATTAAAACATGCTGAAATAAAGTGTCTGTCAGAGCAGAACTGAAGGGCTTTTTCACGATGTCTGAAATAGAAGCTAGTTATGTCCCTAGTAAGGACGCATGATCCTCCAGAGTGAATGAGATGTGAGCAAACAGAATAAAGACATTAGGCATAAGAATAAAAAACAGTAAACCTAAGAAATTGAAAATACACATCAATCAGTTATTGTTCAAGAATTGTGTGGTCATTGGTAAATCATTACTAAAGAACAAGGAGTACCAATACTTGTGTAAGCATCATTATTTATTTTCAGTAAATTTTAACATATATATTTTCTTTAAATATAAAGCTTTTACAGTGATCTTATTTTTAAACAATTGCTAAAAATTATAATTTCTCTAAGCCAGAATTTTATGTGTTGCTTCAAAATATACTATATGTAAAATAAACATTGAACAAAGTAATTCTGTCATTACCAGTCACTGCTTACTACTGCAAATACCATTTCTAGAAATACACCAGTAAGAGATAGTCCCAGGCTGTGTCTTCAGCAATCATTGTTTATAAAATAAACCAATAAAGGGAGTTTAATCCATAATACACATGCATATCTTTTGTTTTGTGGCCACATGGTATTTTCTGACAAACTGTATGTAATAAGTCTACAACTTGGCTGTAGCAATGTCTGCAGTGTGCCAAGTCCCACAATAGCATAAGAACTATGTAGTTTTAGAGGAGACAAAGTTGATTTTGCATATGCAAGACCATCAAATAAGGAGCTGTTATAATATACGACTGGCCAGGAAGAGGAGTTAGTTAAGTCTGGCTTTGCAGGGGAATGGTTTTTCCAGAAGTGTGAAGGGAAGACAGATAATACAAGGACTAATCGTTGAGGGTAGTCTACAGAACCCCCTTCATCCCAGCCTGCCTCTGCAGGTTTTACCAGTGCGGGTGGCCACTAGCCCAGAGGCTTCGTGAGACATGACTGTCTGTTGTCTTTGGGATGCAAAGGAGACTTCCATGTGTAATTTGGGCCTCTTACCAATAAAATGAAGAGGCACACATCCCCGTGACTTGTTCTCCCCTCTCAGCCCATCTCCCAGCTAGCATAAGGGAATTCATCCCGGGAGAAGGGGCAGCAGCAGACAGGAGGAATCGTGGGTCCAGGATGGTTGACATGGAGGGAGGCAGCATATTCTCCATAGACTAGAGAAGAAAGTGACTTGGCACTTGCTGCATCTTTTTCTTAAAGAACCTTGAGATATCCACTAACTAAAAAGAAGAATTGTCCTCTTAGGGGAACAGACTACACAGGAAGGAGGAATCTGGAGGGTCCAGGGCCAGTCCTCCATCACGCAGCGCCTCATTGTAACAACTTCTGTGACTATTTTAAAATTCACTTTATATAAATGAGGTTGAGCATCTTTTCCTTTCTTTAATCAATTTTGTGTATTATTTACTGATTTTTACTCATATGCTAACTCCAGTCGATCCAAAAATAACATCTATTAAAAGCAGTTTACGAAGACTATGACTTTATTCTGTGAGCTTTGGAAAATAAGACCCAGAATCTTTCCTATGTCATAGCCAAAACGGAGAAAGGCAAAAATGTTCACTTCTTTAAAATCACTTAAATATCTGCTTTCCAAAAGCCGTCTGAGTGCCAGTCCACATCGTGGGCTTTGAACTGCTGACCAGTGTGCTCTCACTTACGATGACCAGATACTGCTCTCACACTCCCCAGGTAGCTGGATTGCTGCTTGGATCTTTGGAGCTCTTCAGCTCTGTTTCGTGCAAATCCTTCAAGGATGTCTAAGCCTATATAAATAAACAAACAAGCAAAACTAACAGAAGAAATCACAATGAAAAAATATATGTGGGTTTGACCTTACTAAAATCTCTATTTTAAAATGTACATACAGTATTCATATATGGGAAGTTTAGAGAAAAATCAATAGCAAACACTGTAAAAAATACTGTTCTTAAGCATTTGTTGACATCCTGTTGATTTAAAAAATGCTGAAGCTCCAACAAGTCAGTGCTGGTGAGAATGTGATCCGACACAAGATTTCAGAAGGACAGATTTGATAACATGAATCGAATGTTGTGAAAATGGCATACCTTTGACCCAGAAATTCTGTTTCTGATCATTTGTTTTAGGAAAGTAACACTCTAAGTGAATAAAAATAAATGAGAAAAAAATACAATAAAAGGTCTTAGAAACAGTATCAATTATAATCAAGAAAATCTGTTAACAAAGGAAGCATTCAATAACGTGACATAGTGAAATTGCATCAAATTAGATAAAATATTATTAAAACCTGTAATTTAAAATTTCAGTATAAAACCAGGATATAAATTATATATACAGAATAGTCTTATTTATGAAATAGTGTGTATAGGAAGAAAGAGTTTTTATCTTAATAGCAGGATAGGAATAGTGTTTCTTTTGATTACTGTGTATAGCCTGTGCCTGTTTTCTTGCTGGGCTATGGTCTTCTTTTTAGATTTTCTTTGTTGAGCTCTTTATGTAGTGGTGCAAATGCCGTTGATCATAATGTAAATTAAAAATATGTTATCTCAAAAATAATACATAAGGTATTTTTAAAAGAATAAGATTGGTAAGGTAGGCAGATTTAGATCATGAAGAAGCTTGCTTACTGAGCTTATTTATTTAGACTTCTTTTATGAATGCGGCAAGGTCAGTCCAATGAACTTTAGGAGAACTTCCCTGGAAACCGCATATTGGATGGAGGGAAAGTTGACGAACATCCATGAGGGCTGAGGGCGCAGGATGTTAAAGTCATCTAGGAAGAGGTATCTGGAAAGGATAGTGATTGTTAAGTGTGAGGGTGATTGGAGAGGAAGGGTGTGGGTTAGGAAACCCTGAAGGTCGCTCCCTCTCAGTACCGAGGGCTGGGAAGCCTCAGCAGTTGTTGAAAGTCATTTGGTAAACATGGCCTTTACCAAAGTCGGTCATCTGTCTTCCTTTAGGAATCAGCCTACCACAAAAGCTGGGTAAACAAAACTTGGTGGTCACGAGCTTTGATTTCCCAGAAGACGTGACAAGCCCTCTCTCCCTTGCTGGTATAGTTATATGCAGAAATGTATGTGTTATGAGGCATGAAAAGTCTTTTATTCATTTTTATTATTTCATTTTTTAGTTTAATTTACTGTATAGGTTAGTAAATCAGCAAGCTATCTTCAAGCATGCTTTAAAGTTTGTCACTCTGGAAGGTGTACTGTGGCCTCTAAAAACCTTTGCTGTGGGGGTTCTTGTTAGCTCCAGTCACAGGAAATATTCCTCCTGGACTTGTATTTTCACTGTAATCTGAAGTCATAAGGTTTCTCTTGCCTGGGGATATATGATATTTTGCTTATGGACTGCAGAGAAAATTGAATTTCTCAATGCCGGAATCTGTTATGGATATAGTGCTGATTTTTAAAAAAAGTGTTTTCCCTGGGGCCAGGATATGGGACTTTCTAGAAGTTTCCAAATTATAGAGGTTAAGATATGAATTGCATTTACAACTGAACCTGGCAAACCAAGGAAGTAATAATATTATTTCTATAAAATCAAATAGATCTGTCTGTCTGTATTTCAAGGAAACTTTAAAAATCATTTTCTGTTTACTAAGATTTATTACTGATTAAGCAATAAATGACATCATATAAAACATAGAAACTGTTGAAGAGGACACTTCATTTGCTCTCACCTAAGTGAGAAATGCAAATGAAAACCTTGGCCTTCTCACCGAACAAAACAATCTTGCAAGTCTAACACAGACTTTTGGAGTCCACATAAACTGTTAGGAACATATAACAGTAACTTTCCTTTTAAGAAAGATTGATTTATGTATTTCAAAATCAGAGTTAGAAAGAGAGAGAAAGAGATCTTGCATCTGTTGGTTCCCTCCCCAAATGGCCACAACATCCATGTCTTGGCCAGGCCAAAGCCAAGAGACAGGAACTCCATCCAGGTCTTCCAAGTGGGTGGCAGGAGCCAAGTACTTAAGGCATTTTCCATTGCTTTCCCAGGCCCATTAGCAGGGAGCTGGATCAGAAGTAGAGCAGCCGGGACTCAAACTAGCGGCTGTATGGGATGCCAGAGTCACAGGTGATAGCTTAACCTGCTATGCCACAAAGCATGTCCCAAACGATAGCTTTCAAAGAATGCAAACAAACTCAGAATATAAAAGAAAACTTAGCTTTACAAATGCCAACTAGACAATGCTTGTAGACCTCTGCCTTTAATCTCCACCTTACTACAGTAATGAAATGGGTAGTATGTGCCAAGCACTGCGTGTGGTGCTGGGGCGACAGCACAGATAGACCGGGTGCAGATTTCTCTCAAGGAGGAGATGGTGTTGCAGAAACAATCAGTAAGCAATAGCAACAGAACATGATAGTGATGGATGCCATGTGGCATCATAGTTCGAGGTGTGTTTGGAATAATTAGATTGAATACTAGAGGAAAGCACAAATATCAAAGAAAAAAGTACCTTTTATTCATAAGCCATGGATGGACACACAAATAAGGACTGCAAATGAGGAAATTTGTTTGACAGAGTTCGAAAATTAACCTTCAAAATTGGGAATTCAGTGCAAGTTGACAGAAAAAAAAAAGTAGATATTGTACACTAGCTTAATATCTGCACATTGCAGATACTTAAAAATCATCAAGTAGATGAAGTGGGAAAAGGATATTTTCCATGAAGAAAATAAAATATTAGTTTGTATTCTGGAGCCAGTGCTGTGGCATATCAGGTAAAGCTGCCACCTGCAGCACCAGCTTCCCAAATGGGTGCAGATTCGAGTCCTGGCTGCTCCACTTCTGATCCAGCTCTCTGCTAATGCATCTGGGAGAGCAGCAGAAGATGGCCCAAGTGCTTGGGCCCCTGCACCCATGTGGGAGACCAGGAGGAAGCTCCTGGATTCTGTATTCATATTGGCCCAGATCTAGCTGTTACAACCATTTGGGGAGTGAACAAGCAGATGGAAGATCTCTGTCTGTCTCTCCCTGTCTCTAACTCTGCCCTTCAAATGAATAAAATAAATCTAAACAAAACAAAAGAAAAAACGGTGGTTCTCACTTAGTGGACTCTTTCTCTTTTGAGTAAGTGGTACTACTGTCTATACGGTAATGAAAGCCGAAATCTGAAAGTTGTCTGCAACCTCTCCCATCCCTAGTCCTACATCCAGTTGATCTGCTGATCCTAGGCTTTCTGCTTCCAGAATGTCTCTTAGGTTTAACTAATCATTTGTTTTCCACTTCTACTGCCATTACTTGGTCTAAGCCACTATCATCTCTTACCTGGAACACTGCTCCCTTTTTGTCTTTACACTTGCGCTTCTCTGACCTCAGATGCATTCCTCACATGTGAACCTCTGAAAACACATTTCACTGTATATCTGTACCTCTCCCCTCTCTTTTGACTTCCTAGTCCTTTCCTAGAATATTCCATTGCTGTCTCTTTGTACCTAAAATCTAAACATGTTCCATAGATTATGTTTTCTGGATGACCTTGCCCCTCTGCCATCTTGAATCTAATTGTGCTATTTATTAATGGGTTTGAAAAACATTTGTATTGATCACCGTCTTGGTGCCAAGAAGTGAAATAGGCGATACAGAAAGAGTGTTGAACCAGAGACAAGAGATCACTTACATATATGTGGTATGAGACATACAGTAATTAGGGAGAAAATAGTACAAATAATTCTGTGTGTCAAGCAAAGAAGTAAAGTCTTGGGATATGGGTATGCATTCTTGAGTGGCCACTTCAGAATTGGTCGTGAAAGGAGTATCTGATGATGTGTAGGCTGAATCGTGAAGGACAAGGAGATGGTCTTGGAAGTGTTGGGCTGAAGAGTGTTCTAGGCAGAGAACAGCCAGTACAACATTTCTAAACTGAAACCAACAGAGCAACAGAAAGCAAGCTACTGCTGCAGGAACATTGCCGGCATGGGGAGAGTGGCTGGTACACAGTAGGTCGGAGATGTGGGCAGGGCTAGGTTTTGTCAGACCTTGTAGGTCATGGTGAGAAAGTTGGATATTTTTCTTAGTTGTAAGCTATTAAAGGGTTTTTTGCCAAAGAGTAAGTAGCATAATTAATTAATTTTATGGAAGGATCCAGTGGTGACTATATGGAACAGGAATCGGGCAGTGCTGCCATGCAAGGATGCACATGTTTCTTTCTTCCCTCCCTACGCAGAGGGATGTAGCAGTAGTGATTAAGAGGGTCCTCTAGGAAAGAAGTGATGATGGCGATGGCTATTAGGGTGGCAAAGATGAAGCTGATGTTAGGCCTAGGAAACAGAGATTTGCTGATGGAATAGTCAGCGAAGGGGAAGAGGTAAAGAACGAGAGGTAGTGAGGTGGGTCAGAGGAGCCAGGAATGATTTCTGTGATTTTGGCTTAATAACTGGGTGACAGGAAGACTAAGACTTGGGCAGTGTCAAGGAACAGGAACAGGGCTAGGGCAGAAGATTAAGAGTTTGGTTTGATCCTGGGGCCGGATTGTGGTGCAACAGGTTAAGCTTCCACGTAGAACACCAGCAGCCCATAGCAGAGTGCCGGTTCAATTCCCTGCTGCCCTGCTTGCAATCCAACTCCCTGCTAATGCAACTAGGAAGGCAGTAGAGAGTGGCCCAAATGTGTGGGCCCCTGGGATCCACTGGGAGACCAGAAAGGAGTTCTGGGCTCCTGGCTTCAGCCTGGCCTAGATATGGCTGTTGCAGCCATTTGGGCAATCAACCAGCTCTCTCATGTGAATATGTGCTCTCTCTAATACTTGGCCTTTCAAAAAAATAAGGCTTTTTTAAAAGAAAGTTCTCTTTATTCCAAGTTGAAATTGAGAAGCCATTTAAGCACCCAAAATGATTTATGAGAATACATCAAAGTGTTTCTGGAAAATGGAATTAATATGCAAGTTTATTTTGGTGTAAAAAAATTTTGAAAATCATACATACAAAGAATCTTCAAAAAATTCATGAAAAATGCTTATTGTGAAAGAACTATGCGTGGATTTCAAAAATGTTTTGTTTCAAAATAAACTTACTGGAGCCGACGCTGTGGCGTAACAGGTAAAGCCTCAGCCTGCAGTGCCAACATCCCATATGGGCTCCCATTCAAGTTCCAGCTACTCCACTTTCAGTCCAGCTCTCTGTATGGCCTGGGAAGGCAGTAGAAGATGGCCGAAGTCTCCTATGCACTCACATAGGAGACCCACAAAAAGCTCCTGGCTTTGGATCAGCACTGTTCTGGCTGTTGTGGCCAATTAGGGAGTGAACCAGCATTGGAAGACCTCTCGCGCACGCTCTCTCTCTCTCTCTCTCTCCTTCTCTCTTTCTCTGCCTCTCCTTCTCTCTGTGTTACTCTGACTTTCAAATAAATAAATCTTTTAAAAAAAAAAGATAAACTTACCTAGATGCAGAGAAAGCATTTGATAAAATTCAACACCATTTCATGATGAAAACTTAGCAAATTGGATATAGAAGGAGCGTTCCTCAACACAATCAAGGAATTTATGACAGACCTATGGCCAGCATACTATTGAATGGGGAAAAGTTGAAAACATTTCCATGGAGATATGGAACCAGAAAGGGATGCCCATTCTCACTACTGTTATTCAATATAGTTCAGGAAATTTTAGCCAGAGCCATCAGGCAACAAAAAGAAATCAAAGGGATATAAATTGGGAAGTTAAACTATCCCTACTTGCCGATGATATGATTATATACAAGGGATCCAAAGGATTCCAGTAAAATACTATTGGAACTCATAGAAGAGTTTGGTAGAGTGGCAGGATATAAAATCAACACACAGAAATTAATAGCCTTTGTGTACACAGACAATGCCATGGCTGAAAAATAACTTCTAAGATTGTTCCCATTCACAATAGCTACCAAAAAAAAATCAAATACCTTGGAATAAATTTAACCAAGGATGTCAAAAATCCTATGATAAGAATTATAAAACATTAAAGAAAGAAATAGGAGAAGACACACACACACACAGAAATAAAGGAAAAATTGTCCATGTTCGTGGATTGGAAAAATCATTATCATCAAAATGTCCATACTACTGAAAGGAATTTACAGATTCAATGCAATACTAATCAAAATATGAAAGATGTTCTTCTCAGATCAAGAAAAAATGATGCAGAAATTCATATGGAAACACAGGAGATCTCGAATAGCTAACTCAATCTTATACAACAGAAACAAAGCCAGAGGCATCACAATACCAGATTGAAGACATATTAAATGACAGTTGTAATCAAAACAGCCTGGTACTGGTACAGAAACAGATGGATAGATCAGTGGAACAGAATAGAAACACCAGAAATCAACCCAAACATCTACAACCAACTTATATTTGACAAAGAAGCTAAAATCAGTCCCTATAGCAAGGACAGTTTCATTAACAAATGGCTCTGAAAAAACTGGATTTCCACACGTGGAGTATGAAGCAAGACCTCTATCTTACACCTTACACAAAAATCCATTCAAAATGGATTAAAGATCTAAATTTACGATCCGATACCACCAAATTGTTAGTGAACATTGGGGAAACCCTTCAAGACCCTGGGATAGGCAAAAAGGTCTTTGAAATGACCCTAGAGGCACAGGCAATCAAAGCCAAAACTGACAAATGGAATTACATCAAATTGAGAAGCTTCTGTACTACAAACCAACACTCAGCAAAGCGAAGAGGCAACCAACAGAATAGGAGAAATTATTTGCTAACTATGCAACTAGTAAAGGATTAATAACCAATATATATAAAAGAGATCAAGAAACTCTGCAACACCAAAACAAGCAACCCAGTTAAGAAATGGGCAAAGGGCTTAAACAGGCATTTTTCAAAAGAGGAAACCCAAATGGCCAAAAGACACATGAGAAAATGCTGAGGATCCTTAACTGTAAAGGAAATGCAAACCAAAACCACAGTGAGGTTTCAGCTCATCCCAGTTAGAATGGCTTTCATCCAGAAATCAACAAACAATAAATGTTGGTGAGGATGTGGGAAAAAAGGTAACCCTAGTCCACTGTTGGTGGAATGTAAACTGGTACAGCCATTATGGAAGACAGTATGGAGATACCTCAGAAATCTGAATATAGACCTACCATTTGACCCAGCCGTCCCACTCTGGGGAATTTACCCAAGGGAAATGAAATCAGCTTAAGAAAGAGTTATCTGTACCCCCATGTTTATTGCAGCTCAGTTCACAATAACTAAGATATGGAATCAACCCAAATGCCTGTCAACTGAAGACTGAGTAAAGAAATTATGGGATATGTACATCATGGATTTCTATACAGCAGTTAAAAAAATGAAATCCTATCACTTGCAGCAAAATGGATGAAACTGGAAAACATCATACTTAGTGAAATAAGCCAGTCCCAAAGGACAAATACCATATGTTCTCTGATCTATGATAACTAATAGAGCACCTAAAAGGTAATATATGGAAGTGAAATTAACACTTCGAAATGCAATTACTTTGAATAGCCCTTGTATTGACTGTAGATGAACAGGTTTTTTTAGTACTATTTGTTGAACTCCTTACTTAGTATAGAGTTAATCATTTGTGTTATAAACTTAATTGAAAATATATCTTAATTAAAAAAATAAGAATGAGAATAGGAGTGGGAAGAAGAAGGGTGGTAGTGTGGGTGGGAGGGCAGGCCGGGTGGGAAGATTCACTGTGTTCTTAAAGTTGTATTTATGAAATGCATGAAGTTTGTATTCCCTAAATAAAAGGTTTCTAGGGAAAAAAATAACTTTGTTATAGTACAAATAAAATAGAGACTAATCAAATACAAAAAAAAAAAAAAAACCTTAACCTTTAACTCCATTTTCCACGAACTTTTTGAAGACCTCTAAATATGCTTATATCTCAAAATTGTCTTGCATCCAAGTAAACTTACCTTTAAATTCCATTTTTTTTTTCATGAATTCTTTCAAGTTCCCTTATATGTCAGGAGGACAGATAACTGTTACATAGATACCCCTTGGTTTGGAGATGGAGTAAGACGGAAACTTAGGGACCATAGTTATGTGCAGTCAGTTTTAATTATTTGTAGTAGTCATGTTCCATAAAGTAGCTGAATTAACGAATAGTGAGTCATTGTCCTGGGGAAGTTAACTCACGCAGGGTCAAGTTCCTGGAGGCTCTGGTTGCCCTTACATCAAGTCATCAACACATAGCCTGGTTGTATATGTTATTTGTGCCTAAAGGACACCGTATCTGGTGATATATTGTTGACTCATTAACATTGAACTCATGAACAACAGCAATATAGCACATGCCTCAATGAAGCTAAAGTAACAAATGCATTTTTGCTGTTGGACACATCACAGATGGCTCTTTTACATCCTAGACAACACTCAGAAATGCCCTTGAGAACCATTTTATTTTTTTAAGAAAGCTTTTATTTAATAAATGAAAGCAAATTTCATAGGTACAGCTTTAGGAATATAGTGGTTCTTGTCCCCCACTTTGTACCCACCCTCCTACCCCCACTCCCATCCCACCTCCTACTCCCATCCCATTCTTCATTAAGATTCGTTTGTTTTGTTTTGTTTTGTTTTGACAGGCAGAGTGGACAGTGAGAGAGAGAGAGACAGAGAAAAAGGTCTTCCTTTTGCCGTTGGTTCACCCTCCAATGGCCGCCGCGGCTGGCGCGCTGCAGCCGGCGCACCACGCTGATCCAAAGGCAGGAGCCAGGTGCTTCTCTTGGTCTCCATGGGGTGCAGGACCTAAGCACTTGGGCCATCCTCCACTGCACTCCCTGGCCACAGCAGAGAGCTGGCCTGGAAGGGGGGCAACTGGGACAGAATCCGGCGCCCCGACTGGGACTAGAACCCAGTGTGCCGGCGCCGCTAGGTGGAAGATTAGCCTATTGAGCCACGGCGCCGGCAAAGGATTCGTTTTTAATTAACTTTATATACAGAAGACCAGCTCTATGCTAAGTAAAAATTTCAGTGTGTGTGGGGGTGCCAATTGTTGAGGGCCATGTTAAACAGCAGTATCCCCAACAAAAAGCACAAACACACGAGAAACGTGGCACCCCATATATCACAAAAGGCTTGTTGGTTTGCAGTGTGAATCTGAGAACAGAGGCAAAGGCTTGTTCAACCCTGGCTGCGAATGTGAGCCTTGGGAACTGAAGGTTTTCACTGCTGTGAACATGCATGTCTTCAGTTGACAGGGAAAGTCTTGAGAATGGATTTGGGAGTTGCAAATAAAGTCTAGCAAGTAGGTAAATACAGACTCCATGAATACTGCAGATCATTGTAGCGGCAAATGATTACTCAGATTTTGAATAGAGGACGCTCAAAATTAAGCCCTATGACATTCCAAGATTTGGGGATCCAGTAGGACAGTTAGAGGCCAAGCTCTGAGAAAGAGAACGGAAGGCAGGAGGAAGCAAAGTGGCTGACTGAGTAGGAGCTAGCAGTGCACTGCCAGAGGAAGGCGTGGTCACCTCTCCTGTGCTACTGAGAACCTGGGTAGAAGAGGGCCGGGCAGCTGCAGGGAAACCTGACAGATGACCAGCTGCGGTACAACGAGGTGGGAGTTAGAACATGCAGAGTGTGGGGGCCTTTCAGGACAATGAGAAGACGAATGGAAACACAGCCAGAGAGGGCCCAGGCTTCAGGGAGACTTCCGTGTGCTTGTTGCATGCAGGAGGAGAGAAATGTCTTCTCCCGCTTCTGGCAATGAACAAGCCAAGTTAAAACTGTGGTCTTCACCACGTGCCTCAGAATTGCTTGGCCCTAGAGTTTCTCTCACATAAGATGGCAGGGACCTGACCAGATAAGATTACCTGATTGACTTTACAGGTAAGAAAACAGCCCACAACCCTGGTCCAGGCATGCATTCTATAATCTGGCTGCCCGTGGCTGTGTTTTTGCTTCACGGCTCACTGCCTGGCAGGTGTTAGGCCAGCCACTTAATGTTTTTATACTTAGGTTGCCTTAATCAACACAAAAGATAATGATATTACCTACAGAGATTTGTGGAAGTTATGAGAGAAGGCATATAAAACCCTTATCCCAGTGCCTAGCACACAATTAGCACTCAGTACATGTTCACTGTTACCATTATTGTCACCACTTCGTGTGTCGGATTGTTAGTTCTTCGTCCCATGTTTGTAAAACACAGGTTTTTCAGCTCTCTGCACATGCCCCACCAACGTGTAGGGTGGAGAAATGTCTTTAGTGAGAATTTCTTTTGTGAACCAGTAGAAAATCCCTTGTTTAAAGTAGGGTTCTCCAGAGGAGAAGGTTTTCCTCATATAAAATTTATTCAGCAACTATTTGAAGGCCTAATATTTGCCACACCCTGTTTATAACGGATACGATAGTGAACAAACAAGTCTCTGTTTTCACGGAGCTGAGATCTCGGTAGATTCACTGCTGCTTTCTTTGTGTTTGTACTTCCCTGGTGCCTATTTAATTCTTATACCGTCCAAATCTTTTGTCTGGATGTGTGTCTCACATGTAGCTTGCAGTTGGGTTTGCTGCATTCTGGGGGAAAAAAAAAAAAAGAGCTTTACCTTAATAAAGATTCACTTTTTTTTTTTTTATTTAATGAGCATAAATTTCCAAAGTACAGCTTATGGATTACAATAGCTTCCTCCCCCCCGTATCTTCCCTCCCACCCACAACGCTCCCCTCTCCCACTCCCTCTCCCCTTCCCTTCACATCAAGATTAATTTTCAATTATCTTTATATACAGAAGATCAATTTAGTGTATATTAAGTAAAGATTTCCACATTTTGCTCCCACACAGAAACACAAAGTGTAAAATACTATTTGAGTACTAGTTATGGCATTAATTAAACACCTAAGAGTAATTGTGTATTAATTACAGAGTTCAACCAATAGTTTTAAGTAGAATATAAAATGCAACTTTTGTATTGTTGAGATTCACTTTTATTTTAAAAAATTATAAATAGGAAATTTTTTAAAATCTTGAAGTCACAGATTTCACTTGTTTTCAAAGTCTTGAAACATATGTCTTTGACGGTTTAGAAAAGCATGTTTTTAAGAAAATAAACAAAAGATGAAAGAATTAGGATTTTTTTTTTGAAAGAGACAAATGGAAGAGGAAGGAGGGGAGGGAATAAGAAGGAAAGGGGGGAGGGAGTGGAGGGAGGGAGGGGGCTCGCAGTAGGAAAACACACAGAGGTGAAAAGTCCATTTTTCTTGCTGTCTGGGTTCCTGTGAAATCTGCCAAAGGCTCCTTGGAGGTAGCAATTTGTTCATTTTTTTTAACTTAGCTGTCATTCTTCACAGATCATCTTCTTTCTTGAATGTTAAGTTTTGGTAGTCCGTGATGTTTGATAACGTGCTACCAGAGCTGTTCCATGTAAAGGAACCTCAGGACGCAGGCCCAGGGTTAGCACAGACCAGCCCGCCTGCTGCTCATGCTTCCCAGGGAGCTGGAGGTAAGACCTGCAGGTCGAAAGGGAATTTCTGCACAACACACGAGCTTCTCAAACAGGCGTTCACAACCGAATAGAGGGGAGCGGAAGGGGTCCGGCCCAAAGAATACCCAAAGTATTCCTGCAGTATCTTTCAGTGACCCTGCTCTACTTTATCTTCAGTAACCCAACCAAAATTTTGTTTTGGTTAAAATCACCTGAAATTTTGAAAACTTTTGAAAAAAAAATTTTAGGGGCCGGCGCCGTGGCTCACTTGGCTAATCCTCCACCTGTGGCGCCGGCATCCCATATGGGCACTGGGTTCTAGTCCTGGCTGCTCCTCTTCCAGTCTAGCTCTCTGCTGTGGCCCAGAAGTGCAGTGGAGGATGGCCCAAGTGCTTGGGCCCTGCACCTGCGTGGGAGACTGGGAGGAAGCACCTGGCTCCTGGCTTTGGATCGGTGCAGCGCCAGCCATAGCAGCCATTTAGGGGGTGAACCAATGGAAAGAAGACCTTTCTCTCTGTCTCTCTCTCACTGTCTAACTCTGCCTGTCAAATAAGTAAAAAAAAAAAAAAAAAAAAAAAAAAAATTAGAAGATTTGTTTATTTGAAAGGCAAAGTGACAGATAGGGGACAGAGGTCTTTCATCCACTGGTTCACTCCCCAAATGGCCACATTGGCCAGGGCTAGTCCAGGCCGAAACTAGGAGCACAGAATTCCATGCAGGTCTCTCATGTGGGTAGCAAGATCCCAGTTACTTGAGCTGTGTTTCACCTTCTTCCCAGGCACAGCAGGATGAAACTGTTTAGCAAAGTGGAGCCCTGGGGCTGGTGCTGCAGCATGAATGTTCAGTCTCTGCCTGCAATGCTCATGTCCCATAGGCACCAGATCCAGTTCTGGTTGTTCCTCTTCTCATCCAGCTCCCTGCCAAGGTGCCTGAGAAAGCAGCAGAAGACGGCCCCCAGCTGCTTGGGCACCTGCACCCACATGGGAGACCTGGAAGAAGCTCCTCGCTTTGATCTGGCCCACTCCTGGCTGTTGTAACATTTAGGGAAGTGAACCAGTAGACAGAAGACTGACTCTCTCTCTCTCTCTCTCTCTCTCCCCGCTTCTTTCTCTATATCTCTGCCTTTCAAATAATTAAATAAATGTAAAAAAAAAAAAAAAAGTGGAGCAGCCAGGGCTTGAACCTACACTCACTACCCAATGGGATGCCAGTGACATCGTGAACAGCACCTTAACCCACTTTGCCACAACGCTGACCCTGAAAACGCCTGTTTCTTTTGACATATATTATTTTAACATGTTTTCTTTTTTTACTGTCTTGCATTTTCCTTTAAACTTTAAAATGATTGTGATCATATTTTACATTTCAAATTATTTACAATGATAGGGCATCCAACTCAGTAACTCACTCATTCTGAATTTTAGAGATATCATAGATCAGTGTAAACTCTGAATCTTATATTTATTACTTATTGTGCTGCCATTTGGACTGTTAGCAATAAAGGGAACAATAATATCAATCTAAAATAGCATACCATAGTTATCACTTGTACTATTTTCTTTTTCTCTTGAATCAGATAATTATGGTCATAGTATTGGAGTGGAATTCCTCTATTAACTAATCCCAAATAAATGTTAAATGTTCCTGTAACTTTTTCATGAATATGTGTGGGACAAAGTCTGCTGTATATGAAAGCCTATTTGATGCAGTAATGTCCACTCTTCGGCCTCAGTTCAGCTTTCCGTATCTGACCAGATGCACAGTCTACAGCAGGGTCATGCATGTGGAGTACAGTCATGTTGTAAGTAACAGCGACTTAGGAATAGTCATGAACTCTGCACCAGCCTCTCCTGCCGTAAAAAGGTGGAAGGAGAAGACAAGGAGCAGTTTGGCGCTCGATGTTCTGCTCAGACACGCACCCTGGATTCAGTCTAAAGGGAAAACGTATCTCCATTCCCCCATCTCTCAGAGTGCCAAGCATCCTTCCATGATCAGAGCAGCACAGGTGACAGTAACTCTTTCCATTCATTGTGGCCCCTACATATCAGGTACCCGTGTGTGGTTTCCCGCTGTTGATGGGAAACGGGTCTCCCTGTCCCTGAAATGCGCCAAAAACCCACTGATCCAGTTGAGCTGATGCGGTTGAAGTTTCTGGGTCTTCCCAGAGAGTGTATTTTCCTGAACAATCTGATTTTCACATTAATTCCTACACTTAATTGGAAGCCAACCACTAAACAAACTATAGCTCCATATAATTTGAAAAGCATTTTATCTTCTAAGTGTTTGTTCGGCAAGCTTAATGAGCCCAAGTGTATCAAGGTTCTTTGAATTGAATATGGATTTCACATGTCAGTCTGTTGATGGGAGTTACTGGCCGTTGAACGCCCATAATTTAATATAGTCTCAGATACAGTGCAGTCTCCAGGGAGATCCGTGGGATCCCACACTTCTGTGGGTTGGGGGGTGTCCTCTTGCCATTACACCTAATTTTTGTTGTGGTCGCTGCAGGTGCTCCTTAGGACACCCCACTGTACCACCTTCTAAGGGTGTGTGGCAAGCAAGGTTTACACCCTGATTCTGACAGCCAGTTGTGTGAAGTGGGCCAACCTACTTAATCACGGCAAGCCTCAGTATTCTAGTTTCTAAAGTGGAAATAGCAATACTCACCTCATTTAAACAAGGAGCTGATAAATCTAGCCTGGCAGGTTGCCACTGTAGAGCTCACTCCTCTTCCCTTTATCATCCCCTTGCAGGGTCCAGCTATCTAGATTGGAGTGCAAATTGTCCTTCAAGTCAGGCGAAGGACTTGCAGTGAGAGAGTACTACACAAGCATTCACTTTTTAATTTTACTGTTTAAGAATTCCTGGTCTAATAATCTTTATCATCTGAAATTCCACAGTAATTGTAAAGTGCCCGTAGGTAAATACAGAAGGGTTCCATTCTGAGATCTGCCATGTACCTGGGATGCATTCAGTCGTAAATATCTTTGCACAAAGTGTTTGTGGAGTCTGCAGTATGAGCCAGGCCCTGACCTAGGCACCGAGGTGATGGTGGTGAGAAAAACAGGAAACATCCTGCAAAGACTGGAAGACAAGTGAAGCAAGGGTCCTGGAATGAGCAGAGCTGGCGTACACAAGGGGCAGAGAATGGCCCTGCAGTGGGAAAGCGGAGTGGGACGTGGTGCAAGTAGGTGGTGGCCACGGCTGGTCCTGACAGCTCGTTCAAGGGCCCTGAGGACCAGCAGTCCTTAGATCTTAGGCGAAGCAGAGTGGATTTTAAGAAGAGGAGTGACAGGGTGTGGTTTTGTTTTCAGAAGACTGCAGGGATCATTATGTGGAAAATGGATTTAGGAGTGGGAAATAGAGATCAGCCAGCTCCTCAGGCTAGACCAGGTGGAAGTCCGTGGAACCCTCGGCTCTTTGAGGGCAAACCGTGAGGAGTCCCCAGATCCCTCGGGCTGGGCTGCTGCTTCGACGTAGGCGAGTAAGGGGGAGACAGCAATCAGGATTACTGTGCTTCAGCACGAGAGGTTGGGTGAACCGTGCAGTTCTCAGAGATGGGGAGGGCCGAGCAGACGCAGTCTCGTCAGGCAGGAAAGTGAAGCACGCTGTTTCGGCTGCTTCAGCTTAAAACACTTCCCCGACATCAAAGCAGAATCGCCAGGACAGATGAAACTGGAGTTGCTGGAGAAGTGCAATCTGGAGACCAAGCTTGCAGCATCGTGGGCACGTGAGACGCGTGACCAGGACCTCAGAGTGAGAGCAGGTGCCGGGCTGGGGCGTTTCTCTCCAGCAGCGAGCGGAGCCGTACTCGTCAGGTGTCATGGCAGGATCCAGGCTTCATTCTGTAATAGATTACAACAGAAATCCAGCCAAATTTTAAATATCTGTTTTGTGGATTCTACCTCTACTTAATGTGGTTCCTTTCAGAACTGTGATTTTTAAACTCATGCATAGTTTTTCATAATATATTTTTCCTGGAGTTTTTGAAGAATTCTCATATGTATACGTTTCAAAAAAAATAACTACACCAAAATAAACTCACATTTTCATTAAATTTTGCATAGATTTTTATCGTATTATCCCAGAACTGGATTTAAATACAGTATTGGGGAGAAGAGAAGGTTCTTAATGGACATAATTGCTTTATTGAAATCACACTTTAACTTGAACTGTGCACACTTTAACTTGTATAATCAGTGAATCAAAAGAATGTGTAGGGGCCTTTTTAAATCCTAGCTTCAAGGCCTAGTCAGGTAGAGAAAACAAAGATATTTGAAACCCTAATAGAGCAATTATTTGAGTAACTGGGACAGTCATTAGTTCTGTTCACCAAATCTTTCCAGCTCCCTGCCTTCTGGGCACATGGTACATTTGGACTGCACAGCCACAGTTGAAAGAGACCAGGCAGCCAGCACTTGCCAGCAGGTTTTGATTCAAAGTGACATGTGCAGCTTCTGAGCCAGAGAGCTTTCCTTCCTTCTGCCATAGCAACTGGCAGTGCTGGTGGCTATCTGTCCTCCTAGGATGAGGACAGCGTGGAGCAGACCCTCCAGGCCACCTGTGATGGAAATAGAACACAAATGAGAACGCAGAGCTTTATGGTCTCAAGCCACTGAGATGCTGGGTGTTCGTCACTGCGTATAACCTAACCTCTTCCAACTAATAGGACGCCAAGTCTTGGCTAGCTGTGCTGTATTCTTTCCACGGTCATATACTTAAGTGTATTTATTTAATTTTTTATTTATTTGAGAGAGAGAGAGAGAGAGAGAGCTCCCATCCACTAATTGACTCCCCAAATGCCGGCAACAACTGGGGCTTGGTTGGGGCAGGAGCCAGGAGCTGGGCTTGCAATCCAGGTTTCCCACGTGGGTGGCAGGAGCCCAGGTACTTGTGCCATCACTGTGTCTCCCAAGGTCTGCTTTGGCAGGACACTGAGTCAGGAGCCAGAGCCAAGAGTGGAACCTGGGTTCTCTGATGTGCGATGTGGGCATCTAACCACCGGGCCAAACCGCTTCTTTAAGAAAAAAAAGGGACTTTAAAACAACATTTGGTTGAAAGATTAGTACCACTGCCATGAACTGAATACTGATGCCTTTATAGAACAGACTCAGAATAATCAATATAGGACAACTATAAATTATTTGATGAGTTTTCAAAACAATTTAAAAATGTCTTGCTTAATAACAAATACAGAAGTTTTCAGCTTTCAGTCAATAGGCAGGAGGAGTAGATTTTATTATGCACAGAGCTGTTTCACAAATGCTCTTTTATATGCTTGTCACTGTCAGACAAATGCAGTCACACTCCTATCCAGAAGGTTAAAAGAGAAAACACCCAGAGATTGGACATCATTTCGCCCCACCTGATGACTCCACTTTCCATTCAGCTTGCGTGCTGTCTGGCTCAGTTATTTATTGAACTAAAAAAAAATTACACTCCACCAAACTGAAGCTGTGGTCTTCATTCCCAGGCAGTACTCAGAGATGAACCACAATGCAGATGGTACAGAAACTTATCAGCTGAATAATCTGTAGCCATGGAATTGCTGAGGTGGGAATAGAATGAGGTAGTACTTTCTGTTTCTTTAGGAAATGTTGAATGATCTCTGTCTTACTCCATTCGCGCTGCTCTACTGAAATACCACAGACTGAGTCATTTTGAAACAGCAGAACCTTACTTCGGAAGGTTCTGGAGAACATAAAGTTCGAGATGACAGCAGTGGCATTTGGCACGCGGTGGGGGCCTTCCTGCTGCACCCTCCAAGGCATAACCCTGTTCCTCCCACTCTTCCACTAGCCGCGAGCCCATTCATAAGGCGGAGCCCTCATGACCTCACTTGCCAACAAAGCCCCACCCTTTTAATACCACCCCAACGGGGAATGAGTCTCAGCATGGATTTTGAAGGACAGCCTCAGTTAAGCCATGACAATACTTTCTCCAATATCTGATTGTAAACTGGCATAGAAACTTTGAAGCCTAGTATGAGGGTCATTATCACGGTTAATGTGTGCACCCACTGTCTACCTTCTCATGATTTTTCTCTATATATCTTCCTTTCCTGGAGTTTATTTTAGTGCAGTAATTACCCACACTACTCTAACAGTATCTATGAAAAAAAAAAAAAAAAAGTCTTTCAAGCTAAGGTTTGCAAACATCTCCCCTGCAGCTATGAACTGCAAGGGGAGTAGCGTTCTACTCACACAGGCATCGTCTTAGGCACTGACAGAGACGGAAGAATGCTAAGCAAGGGTGTGGGAGACCCACCCGCGTCCACATTTCTCCTGCGTCATTTCCTATACTGCGTGCCGTGTTTAATCGATTGCAAATCTGTGTCCCTCATCCCATGCAGCCACCACTACCTTAGATGAAGCCTGTCCTGCTTAGCTGCCCTCCACGTTGGCTCCCACACAGTGGCCAGGGAGGTACTCTAAGGTGTTAATTGGCTTCACTTCTTAGGACTCCTGGGACGTTTCAAGGTGACGTCCAAACCCCCTGGATTAGTACGCAGAGCCCTTCCTGAGCCGAGCTTGTAAGCTGCAGGCCATCCGCAGAATGCGTCTTCTCAGAACTTCGGCACCCACATTACTTACAAAGTCGACCGATGTCCAGCTCCTCTTGGACTTAGAGGACTGTTCTCTCCATGCTGTGTCTGTCCTGCCTGCTCTCTTCAGAGAGGGCATTCTCCCTGTAATCTGCTGCCATCCTCAGCTTTGTGTAACGTGGGAGCATTTGCGGCTGCACCCCCTCTGGCCTCACCTCCAGGCTCCGTGTCCTCTACCAAGTCCCTCCAGAGCGCCCTGATTGCCTCCTTCCCACTGGCTCATTTACCTGCCACTCAGCACGCACGTCTCACTTAACAAGGGAGCCGCTGGACCTCATGTCCTCACCTGTAAAATAACGAGCGTAACGGAGGTGGTCTCCAAGGTCGCTTCCTATTTCTCAGTGTGTACTGTGCATTCTTTTTCTTGTGGAGTCTAGAGTCAGGGACTGCTTTGAGCAGACTTCAACCGCAGTTCAGATACGCAGTAACAAGACTCAGCGTGGAGCTTGTCACGGGATCACTGATAAGCCACGTGGCATCCTCAGTGCCAAGTAACAAAAGTGTTCTCCCCCAAGGATGATCCGCTTTGGGTTATCCATCCCCCTATAAAAGCTGGCTACTTCCCAGATCATTGTCCAAGGGCAACAAAAGGCTCACCCTCAGGCATCCAGTGGCATTGAACAGAAAGGAGGGCATTTCTTTACCCTTAATAGCAGCATGGTGAGACGAGAAAGGTGAGATAAGGACACGTGCCAGGAGGAAATGAAATCAAATGCTGTGATTCTGATTCGCTCTCTTTGAAAAGCAGAATATTAAACAGATACCTCCAGAGGTTTGGGAAGAGGTGATTGTCAGGCATGGCTGGATGGGAGTGAGTGCCTTGAAGCCATTTAACGTGGAAAGCCTGCCTGCAGTTCATCCTCAGGAAGTAACCGTGAGTGCACCCACGATCTGGATGTTACTCATAATAGCAAAAGAAGAAAGAAAACGTTGAAACGTCCAAATGAGAGAATCGCTTAGGTCATCATTTTAGACAGTCCTTTTTTGGCAGCCATCTCAGAAGGAGCCAGCCCTTCATTGTCTCTTGAACCAGAGCGGTTTTACTTTTGTATGCTGATGTGTTGAGGTCCATGGGAGAGTTTGTGTGCAGACTTCGATAAATTTCAGTTATCTATACAACAGTATCAATGGAGGCATGTCAGCAGCTCGTGCTATCTTTGGGTAGTGACATTTATTACTTGGATTTGTCTGTATTTTTCACATTGTCTATGGAGAACCCGTAATGACTTCTGTAACCAAACCAAAAAAGAGAGAGAGAGAGACGTAAACAAAAAGGATATCTGAATAAAAAGCAGTTGACAACCAGAGATAGCTCTTGAGCCACTGAAAACCTCTTAGCGTACCGTGTTGGCATTCAGATTGTGTTTTAAACCTGCTGCGGTTGAGAAAGTTCTCCCACTATGTGTCATAGGTTGTAGAGAGCGTTAAAGATGCAGCCCCGGGCCGGCGCCGTGGCTCAACAGGCTAATCCTCCACCTTGCGGCGCCGGCACACCGGGTTCTAGTCCCGGTTGGGGAGCCGGATTCTGTCCCGGTTGCCCCTCTTCCAGGCCAGCTCTCTGCTATGGCCAGGGAGTGCAGTGGAGGATGGCCCAGGTGCTTGGGCCCTGCACCCCATGGGAGACCAGGAAAAAGCACCTGGATCCTGGCTCCTGCCATTGGATCAGCGCGGTGCGCCGGCTGCAGCGGCGGCCATTGGAGGGTGAACCAACGGCAAAAGGAAGACCTTTCTCTCTCTCTCTCTCTCTCTCTCACTGTCCACTCTGCCTGTAAAAAAAAAAAAAAAAAAAAAAAAGATGCAGCCCCACCCCCTCGCTTCATGGTTGAAGTAACTGACCCGGAGTCCGTCAGCTTGTTCAAGCCGGACCAGGGCCCTGTCGCGTTCTCATTGCATATCTTTTTCTGGGGACCATCCAATGTATGCAATGGATATTCCTAATTCTCATTTCTCCCACTGGTGTCTCCTAGTTGGAGCAGCCATCTCTGTGTTATTTCTTACTTTTTCCTACGAGTGAAAACTAAACTTTTGGAAGTGCAGCTGGTGAAATTGTCTCTATTTAGAAAAACTGGCGCAAACAAGGAGCTTAAAACAGATCCTAAAACTGTCACATGACTCATTGTTCTGATTTATACAATTAGCATGTTATAATCTGTTCCACTAGTTCATTAAATCTGTATACCCACTCACATTTATAGTTTGGGATTGAATTACGTTGACTCCAACTGTTCTGTTTGCTTTCCCTTTTGGCATCTGAATGGAAGACATGAGAGGCTTGTTCCATGTGCACAGCCTTCCTCCTCAGACGCGAGTGCACTTGGGAAGCACTGTCCTGTGTTTCAGGCCCTTCACTCATCTCAGTCCTCCTGCCACGAGCAGGCGGGCCCCCGCCCCACATGTGTGATACCTTTCACATATGCCTGTATGTCAGGATCTTCCCATGGTTCTTTTTTCTTTCTGATGTGTAAAAGTGACAGTTGAATACTCAGTCCAACTTGCAGAGTTGGAAGAAATAGTTTGTGGTAATATGTTTCACTTAAGGGAAAATGGGAGTATTCAGAAATATCACTCACTTCTCCAAAACTCTTTACCAACCCTCAACAACAACAACAAAAAAAAAGAAGAAGAAGAAGAAGAAAGCTAATAATTCATAGTGAAAGACTATCAAGGGCCAGCGCCGTGGCTCACTAGGCTAATCCTCCGCTTGCAGCGCCGGCACACCGGGTTCTAGTCCCGGTCAGGGCGCCGGATTCTGTCCCGGTTGCTCCTCTTCCAGGCCAGCTCTCTGCTGTGGCCAGGGAGTGCAGTGGAGGATGGCCCAAGTGCTTGGGCCCTGCACCCCATGGGAGACCAGGAGAAGTACCTGGCTCGTGGCTTCGGATCGGCCACTTGGGGAGTGAATCAACGGAAGGAAGACCTTTCTCTTTCTCTCTCTCTCTCACTGTCTAACTCTGCCTGTCCAAAAAAAAAAAAAAGAAAAGAAAAGAAAGACGATCATAACAAATGTAGAGATTTTTGCTTAAGGTAGAGACGATGTGGCCTGTTAGGGATGATCATGTTCATCGTAAGAAAGCTAGAGAAGGGATTTTTCTGAGAGTTCTGTGCACTGGGTGTTAAGTCATTATGGGAAACAGAGAAATCACTATGTCCAGTGACATACTAGACCTGTAACCAGCTTTACTGCATTGCATCTTAATTCGGAGATTAAGGAATTTTGTAAGCCATTTTCTCTATGAATTCTGTGGTTTGGATTTACTCAGAATGCAAGCTTGTGTCATTTAAAGACAATTTTTCATAACAGAATTACAGTTTAAACTGAAATGATTTATACAGTTGTTTTTACTAAACTAGTTCCTTTTAGTACCACATGTAAAGGATTTCTGTTAAATTTTAAAAATATTTTACAATGTCATTGTTTTGCAACCTCTTCTGATTTAGCCTTTCGGTTGTCTGGGTGCATGAGAACTGTGGTTCAGTTACTCTGGGAACCGAGCACAGAAACTACAGATGGAAAGTGAAATCTGCTTCGTAAATCCTGTAGTAACTTGAGCTCACTTGCAAGTGTATTTTCTCCTGATTTAACATTGTTTTATTTTACCTGACACACAGTAATTGTGCCTGTCTATGGGACACGCTGTGACATTTCCAGGATTACCCCTTTGGTACAATATATCCAAGCGTTTTCCATGGAACATTCACATCGAAGTATGATTATGCCACTAGCTAGCAATCCCAGTGTTGGAAATTTCAGTATTTCAACCTATACATTTGAACTTAAATACTCTTAGAACAGTAGCACGACCCAATTATGTGCCAGGATTCTGCGAACAGTAGTTTGCGTGTATGTAAGTTTACAACTTTAAAGCACGCACACATTGCTCCATCTATGTTTTACACACACTCTGTAAGAGAGGCAAAAAGGAAGGTGATGAGGTTTGTGACGTAGTGACATGGCTGTTGTTTGAGAGGTTACCCCAAAATATACTGCTTGTTCAGGGTTATTTATACTAACCATTTAAACCTCTTTAATGAATATGCTTACCCAGAAATTCCTTACAGCTCCATAAAATCAAATCGCATAATTGTGCATGCATAGTAATAGCAATTAATAAAAGCAAAGTACCAGATTTCCTATTGGTACATCAATAAAGGTGTGGAAAGGGTACTAGAAACTATTAACAGTGGTTCTCTCTTGTGCTGATGAGGACCGGAACTGATGGGAAAGCAATTTCGGCCTTATCTGAAGTAGTCTAAAAACATTCATGTACTGGGTAGGCATCGTGGCACAGGGGGTTAAGCTGCCACTGGTGATGCCCGCATCCCATCTAAGTGCTATTTTAAGGTCTGGCTCCTCTCTTTCTGACTCCACTTCCTGCCTATATGACTGGGAGACAGCATATAATGACCCAAGTACTTGGGTACCTGCAGCCACGTTGGAGACCCAAGTGGACATCCTAGGTCTTGGATTCAGCTGGCCCCCCTGTTCTTTCCCTGACTCTCCTCTCAGTGTCACTCTGCCTTTCAAATAAACAAATCTTC